AGGAGTTAAAGTTCGGAGAAATCAGCAAGATGGAACTAGTGTGTGATAACCAAGCTGCTCTTCATATTGCGTTAAATCTGGTGTTCCATGAGAGGACTAAACACATTGAGATCGACTGTCACTTTGTCAGAGAAAAAAATACTTTCAGGAGATATTTGTTACAAAGTTTGTAAAGTCGAATGATCAACTAGCATATATTTTCACTAAATCTCTTACTGGTTCTCGTATTAGTTACATGTGTAACAAGCTCGGTACATATGATGTGTATGCACCGGCTTTAGGGGGAGTGTTAGTTTACAGATATGTATAGTGTAGTCTTATCCCACATTGGAAGAGGAGTAATATCTCCTTGTAGTGTATAGCTATAAATAGGGACCTCTTGGATTGTATTTATCATCCAATATCAATAATATATTTTCTCCCGTGCTTTCTCACAGTTAAAGAATTTTGAGTGTCGACAGTGCTAATTAGGGAACTTGCCGCATGATTTGTGTTAGGAACTGTTAGACGAGCCTTGGGCGTTGAGCGCTAGGCATGTTTCGGGCGCACAGTCGAGCGTTTGGGGCGTAAGCCTCACAGAACTAAGCCCCACACGTGAGCCTTAGGGAGTTTTGATAGTGCCCCGCCACAGGGGCCTTTTAAAACACTCTATTCAACAACAGACATTTGACCTTTAATTCAATCACATGTGCACTCTTAATCTCTGAATTGATGAAAGCTGAGTAGTCAAAAATTAACAAAATAAATATTTGAAATATCAAGAAAATATAAAGAGAAATTAAAAAGAAAAACAGTAGCAGAATGTGATAACTGTCGACTTCCTACTCTGCCTTGCCACTGTTTATCCTCTTCTCCCTCGTCATCTGGAACATAATACTGTTGGCTAGCTTTCTAGCCAAGGGCAAGGGGTCGTGTAGTGGGATGAGAAAACTATAGTGGACAGGAAAATAGAAGGGTGGCGAGGAAGGGGCCAGGAGGTCGTGGTCATATTCTGGCTTTTGTGCTCCTTCCATTTCCATGTCTCTGCTAAACTCGAGTCCTCGGAATGGTATGTCACCCAAGATGATGATGTTATCTTAAACTTTCTAATATAGTGTCGGAACAAGCTTTTAGTCGTATAGCATCCTAATTGGTTTGCATCTTCATTTTTCTATGTACACCAAAATTTTATTCACGCAAGTGTTCCGGTATTACATGCAAACTTTGATAGATAAAACTACTGATAAATCAGAACACTATTTACAAATAGACAAAGGCGATGATTACCTTCATTTTGTAACACTCTAATAGAAGCGCATGATTAACTTTGAATGACTTGAGCATGTTTTCTCTGGCGAAAGCAGTAGGAGGATGAACAAGAGGTTGGAGAGGATCAGCAAGTGCGAAGTTGGAGGAGGAAGTGGAGTCGTCATCGAGTTCTACTGCGTTCTCTTTTTTTTTTTTTTTCTGTTATTAAATCAAAATTCTCTAGTTCTTTCTATCTTCCATTAGTTTCCGTTAACTCCAAGTAGTAAAGTGCACGTATTGTCCAATTAAAGGCAAAATATGTGTAGTTAAATAATACGGAACTACAACCGGAATAACACATTACTTCATATACCAAAATTGCAATTCTCCCCTTTTTCCAATCAACATTTTGGCTTCTTATGATCACACCGCCAGTCAATAGAGGTCAATCAATAGAGACAAGGGGAGTGAGCAAACAAACAGGTGAAGCCATTCCAGATAGTTTGAGAAAGCGTACCAATGGCTGTTGAGGTATTGTCTTGTGCAGCCCAGGTGGGGTCTAGTAGAGCATAGCTAACAGCAGATTCTAGTTCACCCACTGATCTTTTTGCATCAGTAAGCCACCAACTTTCTTTGATTATGCGTGCAGCTTCAACATATAGCTGTACATGAAACTCCGGAGGAAGTTGTGCCAAAAGAAGACCACAAGCTTGGATCAACAAGCAAGACAGCTGTTGGCAAGTATAACCACTACGTGAAACAAAATTAGAAGTATTCATTCCTGAAACCGATGGAGTCGTCCTAGTTGCACCCAAAGAATCAGAACTTCCCCCTGAAGGAGAAGTAGGCAAGATAGAGCCTTGTCCAGAACTACCAGGAGCTCCATGTAGCCCATTGCTGGATTGGACAAGGGTTGGTTGTATGTGTACAACAATTTGAACAAGAGATGAGACAATCTGAGAAGGAGAAACAGGTAGAGAAAGTAATTCTATTACAGCTGTTTCAAGAGTCAGCTGGGTGAATGTCCCAGGGTCTTGCATCTGATAATATGGTTTCTGCCCTTCAGAAGAATTAGTTGGCCCAGGTTGTGATGTGGCTTGGATCTTGCCATGGGGAGCACGCGTAGAATTATTTGCAAAATCTCCCATTGCTGCACATTTGGAGCTATTATTTAAAGCAGGAATAACATGATTCACCAGTCCTAATAAAAGAGTAGCAAAGTAGTCCAATGGTGGGCACATGGCTGCATTTGATGAGTTGATATGTTGCGGGAATGACTCGGAAAATGGAATCTGAAAGGAAAAAAGAAAAAAAGAATGATTCAGTGATTATTAAAAGAGAAGGGCAAAAGCAATTAGTAAGTTACAAAAGCATCAACCATCATCACCTTTTTAATATCCAAGATATTTAATATGCGGAGTATTAGCTTTCCAGGAAGATGACCATAGAAATAAGCCAGTATATCACGAACAAATGTAAAGTTCAGGGGATAGCAATGAAGGAAGGTCGAATAAACTTGAAGAGCTCTATCAGCTGCATCCATAGCGTCATTTTCAATGAGTCTATATATGATTAGGGGGATGATCGGAAGCAGGCGTGCAGCAATATCATCAAAAAATGTGGGATACCTGAAACCATAATGATCAAACAAGAAAAGGTTGATACTTGATAGGTGTATCCTCGAGATCTAAAATCTGAGAATTAAACAATATATTACTACCTATGAGCATAACAAACAAGAGCTGATGCAATGCGTATATATATATACACACACAACATACACACACATGGATGAGCAAAGAGCTGATAAAATTAACACCGCCACTTGCATCATCAGTAAATTTCAACAAATGGAAAATAAATAAATGAAGAACAGTGAAGTTGATTAGGTTTGCAGTGCCTAAATGCAAACAATTCAGATATTTATGATGGTTGTTCCAGGAGAATGGGATGATAGATGAAGATGTATACAAATAAAATCAAAATCAGATGGTTGAAATGGAGAAGTCTACAAGGGTAACATGATAGAAGGATGCCTACCAAAGTGAAAGGTAAGTTCTATAGAACAGTCATAAGACCAACGCTATATATGAGTGAATGTTGGACCAGCAAAGTTCAACACATCCATATGAATGTCGCAAAGATGCAGATGCCAAGAGTACTAATAAGCTAAGCTGAGATACGGTCACCCATTGCATAGAGGTTAAAGAGATACCTAGCTTATCGGGTTGGGATCAGAGACCAGTGTTGTGAAAAGCGCTCGCTTCAGCGCTTAAAGCGCGAAGCGCAGCGAGGCGGCCACAGTGTCGCTTCTATGTTGTGAAGCGTAACACGTAAAAAGAAGCGTGCGCTTCTGCCAAAAAAGCGAGAAGTGTGACTGAAGCGAGAAGCGACTGTAGTGAGCGCTTCAGTCTTTTAAGTGACTGCCAACATTAAAAATAAAAAAGTTGTGTCTTTTTTCAAAACATCATCGAGCAGCAGAGCGAAGCAGCGACTAGGGTTTCCATTTTCAGCACTTTTCAAGTTCAAGCCCAGGTATGTGCCTTTCTTCTTCTTTTTCTTTTCGTTTCACTATTTCAGTGTTTAAAATAGCGGCGAAATGCTGCCATTGTTTTTTGCTTTGTAGTTAATAAGTTATTATTTTCGTTACATGTGTTGTCTATACAGTATTTATTTTAAATTTTTTTTTTTAAAATCCGCTTCACTTCAAAAAAGCGACGCTTCGCTTCTCGCTTCACGCTTTAAGCAAAATGGGGCTTGTCGCTTTTCCTCGCTTCACGCTCTTCACAACACTGGATCAGACATTGGAGATACCTAACTTATTGGGTTGAGATCAGACCGTTGTCACTAGCTTGACATTCCCATAATGTTCAATCTTCCTCCCAATCAGATTCCTTACTGATCACTGTGTCAGAAATGTCCATTCCAACAACAATTTGTATTCCTTCATAATTTTAAAGATGAGAAGACAACACGAGAAAATTTAGAACACATAAAGAAAATATATATTTTTTTGCATTTAGCATTTATCCACAAAGATTAGTATGTTCCAGTTTGGGTGCTAGACCTTATACCCTCATTTTTGAAACTACTGTTTATGTTCAGTATTCTAGAGTTGTTCTCGAAGGGGAGCCTTGGAGCAACGGTATTGTTCTCATGTGACCTATAGGTCATGGGATCGAGCCGCGGAAGCAACCACTAATGTTTGCATTAGAGTAGGCTGGCTACATCACATCCCTTGGGGTGCGGCCCTTCCCCGGACTCTGCGTGAACGCGGGATATTTTGTGCACCACGCTGCCCTATTCTAGAGTTGTTCTCAATATACTTATATACAGGTTCTACAGATTTCAGTTGAGTTAAATTTCAAAAAGTGATTAGCTTAATGGGAGTAAGATCATCGAGTGCTGTTACAGTCCCATAATTTGGGTCATGACAGAACACAATTATAAGTTCTACAACACCCAAAAATATTAAACAACGAAAAATAAGCATTAATACACAGAATAAGCATTTTCCAATGATCAGTGCTCAAAAGACCTAACTTGCAGCAAATAGTGTTTAATAGAATTGATTCTTCAAGCTAAATGCCTAATGGGTCTAGTCGTACTGGCCAACCAAGTTAGCTAGAGCCTCAGAAAGCTGCCAACGACTATTTGTTACCATTTTCAAAAAGAAAGCTGCCAACGATGACAACAACATTGTTATTATAAATTTTTCGACTAGTTACATACCAATTCAGACAAGAAAAGTAGGTTATTCTCTTGGTTATCTCAATGCAGGTATAATACATCGAACAGAAGAAGTTGAATTCTGAGGCTGGAAAGGCAACGTAGTTTTAATTCGATCAGGAGAATCATTAAATCTATCTAAATCAGCATCAGGAATACTTCATGACAAGTAAATATATGTGACGACCCGACCGGTCGTTTTGAGCTTTTTAACATTTCGTTCGGTGGTTCGAGTCCTTGAGTAGCTTCATATGATGCATTATGACTTGCATGTATAGTTGGTTTTGATTTTCGAGAGGTTCGGAGTTGATTAGGAAGAGTGAATCTCAATTTGGAAGCTTTAAGTTTGAAGGGTTGACCAAGGTTTGACTTTTGAGTAAATGACCTCGGAATCGGGATTTGATGGTTTCAACTTTCAACAAGTTTGTATGATGATATTGGACTTGGGCGTGTGTTCAGATTTGGATTCGGAGGTTCCTAGAAGGTTTTAGCTCTATTTGTCGAAAGTTGACAATTTGAAAGTTTGGAGAGTTCATGGGTTTGACCAAGAGTTGACTTTAATGTTATCGGGCTTCGATTGGTGTTTCGGAACTTGGATAGGTTCTTTTAGTTGATTGGAACTTGGGTGCAAAGTTTGGTTGAAATCCAGAAGGTTTAGGCATGATTTGGACGTGTTTGGTTAAGTAGGAAAGTTTGGAAGCTAAGAGATAGATTTTGATCGTCGATTCTTGGTTTCGATGTTAGTTGTAGTGTTTTGAGCATTTAGATAAGTTTGGATAAGGTATTCGGACTTGTTGGTATGGTTGGATAGGGGGCCGAGGGGCTCGGGTGTGTTTCGAATTGGTTTCGGACCATTTGAAAGTGATTTAGCAGATCTAGTACTGGTGTGTTGCACCTGCGATGGTTTTCGCGCAGGTGCGAGGTTGCAGAAGCGATGCATTGGCCACATCTGCGGCTTCAAAGAAGTGGGGGTTCGTGCGGAGGTGCGAGATTGGGCTGGCTCAGGTTTGCATTTCTGGTCGCATCTGCGGAGCCGCAAATGTGACAGTTTCTCCGCTGATACGATGGGGGGCTTTGTAAGTGAGGATCGCAGATGCGATCGATATGTCGCAGAAGCGGCCCTTTGTTCCGTAGATACGAGACCCTTGGCAGACTTTATATTTTCGAGAGTTAGCTCATTTTTTCATTATTTTGAGTTTTGGAACTCGGTAAGAGGCGATTTTTTAGGATATTTTCATCACTAATTTGTGGGTAAGTAATTTTCACTTGAATTTGATTATATATCTTGAATCCTTGTGGAATTATACACTTTAATCATGGAATTTTGAAGAGAAAATTAGGGTTTTTGTCTACAACTTGCGAGGCAGAATTTTGGGGATTTGAGGGTGGATTTGGACTCGGTTTTGGAAAATAATCACATATTTGGACTCGTGGAATTATAGGTAGTCGGGATCTACCCCTTGACTTAGATTTAGACTATGTAGGCCCGAGTTGACTTTTGTTGATTTTTGGGGATTTGATTAAAAATTGAAGCTTTATTGTTTGGATTTGATTCCTATAGTTTTGTTTGACGTTATTGAGTTATATTTGACTAGATTCGAGTCGTTTGGTGCTGGTTTTCGAAAGGAAAGGCGGTTGTTGGTTGATTTAAGCTTGCCGGGATAAGGTAAGTCTCTTGTCTATTCTTGTAAGAGGGAATTCTCTGAGTGATCTATTTGCTGCATGTTGCTTGATTTAGGAGCCACGCATATGCGAACTGACGAGCGTATATGCGTAGCTAAGTTATGACCTTATCCAGTAGAGATTGACTTATGATTATGCCTTGTTTGGACTATGTGAGCTTATTATCCATATTTCGTTGATTCCATAACTACGTGATAATTCATAATTATGACTTAGGAGCTTGTTTAAGGTTATGACTTGTTGACCTGGGCATAAAGGATTGTTTGCCATGTTGAGCTTTAATGTTAATGTGTAGTCATACACTTGTCTTATTTGCAACTGTATGGTGGTGGTGGATTGCATGGTGGTAGGTGATAATGGTGGGTGGTGGCAGCGGTTAGTAGTGAATGTGAATGATAACAACTTCGTGAAATTAAGTCTTTGTTATAGATCTTTATCATTCACATCCATTAAGTGATTGTGAAATAAAGAAAAACAAACACACTTAATAATTAAGATCTGAATAATTAAGATCCAGACTTTAAAAAAACGTAATTAATGTCTGAGATCAGAATGATTAAGATTCAGACCCTCATTAAGTGCAAACAAATGAAGCCTTACAAACACAAAACATATGCTTATAGAAGATCTGGATAAACATTCGACATAGAGATATGTGTACTTACTTTGCAACCAAATATATACTTGATCCAACTGTTAATATCTAAACATTCAGCAATTATAAGGAACCATGATATTGCATATAATACTGTCCAAGATGTTACCCACTTATTGGAAAAAACATGTTCAATTTGTTACCTTTCCTTCCATGACAGATAGTTTCCAAGAGCTTTCTGCAATTCCACACGCTTGAAAGGTCCAGAAGAAAGCCAATGTTCAGGTGGGCCACGATTTATGAGATAAAGTTTCACTCTTTGTTGGAGCTCCTTACTGTCAAGTAAGTTAATCTGTTTGGAATTTTAACAAAAGGTGTCAAAAAGTGAGCAAAAGAAAAAAGGGACGTTTTGATGTACCAAATATATCACTATTTCGATAAATTTCAAAAGAACTATAACATTTACTGGAAAGTCTCCATATTTAAGAATGTGAATGAAAAGCTCTTATGATCATGGTCTGGTTCATAACAAGAATGATCCACTTGCACAGAAAGCAAAAAAAAAGGTCATCCTATGAGACACTGGATTTTGTTCCTATATGAGTGAAATCATTGTTCTTGTTAGATAGTTATGTACATAATATGAATTAGTCCTAGTCCCACATAGAATAGGAGTATTATATGTATTGTTTAAATAGGGCTCATTGTATTATAATTAAACAGAATATCAATAATAGATTTTTCTCCCATGCATTTTCACATGGTATCAGAGCAATCGTGAGAGATTTATCGTTGTGCATAAATACCAACGACTCCGGGAAGAAAAATCAGTCAACCGGAAGTCTTTTTCCGGCAAACACAGGTCTGCCGCAAGTAAAAAGCCACTTTTCGTCAGTGTTGTGTAAAAACCAACACCACCACAAAGTAGATCGGCCTCCGTCGACCAACCCATAAAAAAATCTCCGTCAGAAGACCCTCCAAGCGCTACCGGAAGAAAATTTTCCGGCAAAGTTCCGACGTCACGCGCCGGCGCATGGGCCACCTTCCGGCCATTTTTTGGCGACGACTCTTCAGGACAAATTGTTTCCCTTGCAATTCCGAGCCTACCCATCCAATTTAAATCAAATTCCGACCACTTTCATATTTTTCCGGCGTGAACAGTAATTTCCAAAAAAAAATTTTTTTTTTTTTTTTTTTTTCTGCGCATAACCATTATAATGGCATTCATATTAGAAGCCTTTGACTCACAATCCGTTAGATCCAATGCATTGAATCTAATCCAGATGATTTCTTTACCGGATTATATTGAGTTCCTAAAGTACAAAACATGTAAACAGACATCTTTCGGGATAGCTTCCGTTATTCAAACAGATAGTAGTGTGACTTGTGTCTCCCAATCTTCATCCTCTGAGTCTTGGGTCATTGATTCAGATGCATCTGATCATATTTCTGGTAACAAATCTCTTTTCACTACTATTTCATACTCTCAATCTCTCCCAACAGTCACAATGGCCAACGGGTCTCAAACCATGGCAACTGGAATAGGTCAAGCAAGTCCACTTCCTTCCTTACCTTTAGATTCAGTCCTTTATGTTCCCGATAGTCCTTTTAATCTCATAGCCGCTAGTCGGTTGGCCAAATCACTTAAATGCTCTGTTTTATTTCTTGATGACCTTGTTTTTATAGGGGAACGCTAATACAGGGCAGATCATTGGTACCGGGCGTGAATCAGATGGACTTTATTACCTTATCCTTGCAAAATCACATGGACACATATCTTGTCCTCCTTCAACAACTTGTTTTGGCACTGATTCACCAGATTTATTACATAAACGGTAGGGACATCCCAGTTTGTCAAAACTTCAGAAAATAGTACCTGGTTTATCTCACCTGTCCACTCTAGAGTATGGGTCATGTCAGCTCGGTAAGTATACCCGCTCCCATTTCCCTCGACGTCTTGATATTCGAGCTGAGTCACCTTTTACTTTAGTCCATTCAGATGTTTAGGGTCCTAGTCGGATCAGTTCTACCCTGGGATTCCGCTACTTTGTCAGTTTCATTGATGATTATTTCAGGTGCACTTGGATATTTTTGATGAAAAATCGATCTGAGTTGTTTTCTATTTTTCAGACCCTCCACGCTGAAATTCAAAATCAATTTGAGGTTTCTATCCGCACATTTCGTAATGATAATGCCTTAGAGTATTTGTCTTCCCCATTTCAGCAGTTTATGAACTCTCATGGGATTATTCATCAAACATCTAATCTGTACACATCCCAATAAAATGGGGTAGCTGAAAGAAAGAATAGACATCTTATTGAAATTGTTCGTACCATACTCATACAATCTCATGTTCCGTTGCGTTTTATGGGGGATGCAGTTCTTACATTTTGTTATCTTATTAATCGTATGCCATCTTCAGCTATCCAGAATCAAGTTCCATTCTCTGTTTTGTTTCCCCACTTACCTTTGTTCTCTCTTCCACCCCGTGTCTTTGGGAGCACGTGTTTTGTTCATAACCTTACTTTAGGAAAAGATAAGTTAGCTCCTCGTGCTCTTAAGTGCGTATTTTTAAGTTACTCGAGAAGGCAAAAGGGATATCGATGCTATTCTCCTGACCTCAGGCGGTACTTAGGCGGTACCTTATGTTTGTTGATGTTACCTTCTTTGAATCCCAATCATACTTCACAGGTCCAGGTAATCACTTAGATATTTATGAGGTGCTACCAACTCCATCTTTTGGAGATTCAGTCACTATCTCCCATTCATCTTCACCTATAGCTCCAGCTCCAGCTCCAGCTCCACCACCTATTGCTCCAGTTTCACCGCCTACCGCTCCAGCTCCAGCTCCAGCTCCACTACCTATAGCTCCAGTTCCACCGCCTAGTCCAGTTCAACCTTCTACAGCTCCATCACTCCTGACCTATCATCATCATCCGCGCCCAGCATCAGGCCCAGCTGATTCACGTCCTGCACCTGACCCTGCTAATACTGCGGACTTGTCTCCTCTTAGTCAACCGATTGCACTCCGGAAAGGTATACGGTCCACACTTAATCCTAATCCCCATTATGTCGATTTAAGTTACCATCGTCTATCATCACCTCATTGTGCATTTGTATCATCTTTGTCCTTTGTTTCCATCCATAAGTCTACAGGTGAAGCACTGTCTCATCCAGGGTGGCGATAGGCTATGATTGACGAGATGTCTGCTTTACATACGAGTGTTACTTGGGAGCTTGTTCCTCTTCCTTCGGGTAAATCGACTGTTGGTTTTCGTTGGGTGTATGCAGTCAAAGTTGGTCCAGATGGCCAGGTTGATCGACTTAAGGCTCGTCTTGTTGCCAAAGGGTATACTCGGATATTTGGGCTCGATCACAGTGATATTTTCTCTCTCGTGGCTAAAATAGCATCAGTCCGCCTTTTTCTATCCATGGTTGTTGTTTGCCATTCGCCTCTCTATCAGTTGGACATTAAGAATGTTTTTCTTCACGGTGACCTTGAGGATGAGGTTTATATGGAGCAACCACCTAGTTTTGTTGCTCAGGGGGAGTCTAGTGGCCTTGTATGTCGGTTGCGCCGGTCCCTCTATGGTCTAAAGCAGTCTCCTCGAGTGTGGTTTGGTAAGTTCGACAAAGTTATTCAGGAGTTTGGCATGACTCGTAGTGAAGCTGATCACTGTGTGTTTTGTCGGCATTCTGCTTCAAATCTCAGTATTTATCTGGTGGTTTATGCTGATGATATTGTTATTACCGGCAATGATCAGGAAGGTATTACTAAGTTGAAGCAACATCTCTTTCAGCACTTTCAGACTAAGGATCTGGGCAGATTAAAGTATTTTCTAGGTATTGAGGTCGCTCAGTCTAGCTCAGGTATTGTTATCTCACAAAGGAAGTATGCCTTACACATTCTTCAGGAAACAGGAATGACAGGTTGTAGACCTGTTGACACTCCTATGAATCCGAATTCTAAACTTCTACCAAGACAGGGGGAGCCGCTTAGCGATCCTGCAAGATATAGGCGGCTGGTTGGTAAATTAAATTACCTCACAGTGACTAGACTTGACATTTCCTTTCCAGTTAGTGTGGTAAGTCAGTTCCTGGATTCTCCCTGTGATAGTCATTGGGATGCAGTTGTCCGCATTCTTCGATATATAAAATCAGCTCCAGGCAAAGGATTATTGTTTGAAGATCGAGGCCATGAGCAAATTGTTGGGTACTCAGATGTTGACTGGCAGGATCACCTTCTGATAGACGTTCTGAATATTGTGTTTTAGGAGGTAATTTGGTGTCTTGGAAGAGTAAGAAACAGAATGTGGTTGTTCGGTCTAGTGCAGAAGCAGATTATCGAGCAATGGTTGTGGCAACATGTGAGCTAGTTTGGATCAAACATTTGCTTAATGAGTTTGAAATTTGGTGAGGTCAGCAAGATGGAACTTGTGTGTGATAACCAAGTTGCCATTCATATTGCATCAAATCCGGTGTTCCATGGGAGAACTAAACACAGTGAGATTGACCGTCACTTTGTCAGAGAAAAGATACTCTCAGGAGATATTGCTACAAAGTTTGTGAAGTCGAATGATCAGCTTGCAGATATTTTCACCAAGTCCCTTACTAGTCCTCGTATTAGTTACATATGTAACAAGCTCGGTACATATGATTTGTATACACCGGCTTGAGGGGGAGTGTTAGATAGTTATGTACATAATATGAATTAGTCCTAGTCCCACATAGAATAGGAGTATGATATGTATTGTATAAATAGGACTCATTGTATTATAATTAAACAGAATATCAATAATAGATTTTTCTCCCATGCATTCTCACAGTTCTGCCAGCTCGCAAAGATGTATTCTTCACTCTAACACTTGTCATTTTCCTTCTTATCGTCAAAAGTCAAGTGACTTTCTCTCTTATTCACGGCAAAATGAACAAGAATGGGATATGATTGTTGACCCAGCAATTCTCTGTAGAAGTGCAATATCACTCTCTGGGTACTGCAGTTCCATAACTTTTGTTCTCTTACCATAAAATTCGTCTTTCTGTCATACTCGGAAAGGAAAAGATGGAAGCCAACTTGTTTCAATATGTCAGAGGGGAGTTCATAGTTGCTTCTACCATAGTAGCATGAACCAAAGCAACAGATATTTAATCCACTTTCTATAAAAGGAAAGACGCATGCCAATCGTTAGGAGAAAGAACCATGTAGAGTTATAGACTTGAAATAATTAACAAAATCACTACCTACCTTGTTAACCTATGGCTGGATATGTAAGATGCTAGAGGAGCAGAAAGCTTAAAAGGTGTTTATGTCAACGGCAATAAGAACCAATGTTCCTGAATAGTGTTATGGGACACCTTGAGACCATAATATTGTACATCTTCAGCCGTTAAACCAGATAGGCCTGCTTTTATGAATTGTCTTGGATGATAGAGAAGGAATGAGATTCCTGACTGGGAGGCTTGGAATCTTATACTAATCAAATGCTTCTGAAATTATCCATTTTTAGTAAATGAGTATACTTTGATTTCATAGAAAACCAGAGCTAGAACTTCTTTTCGCCCTTCATTTAGTTCTTCTCCCCATTTTGTAATTGTTGAAGATAGCTCCAATAGCCCAAACATAAGAAGATTGGAATTTAGCAATTCCACATGACAAATTACAGTTCGATCAGCTGGACAGACAGTAAAACATCATAGCTAAAGAGAAGATGATGCCTTCTTCAAGCAAGCTAAAATTATCACTTTGTCCTCATAACACTATAGCTTAAGAATGAAAGTGTAAACAGCACCAAACTGAGTCTACAACAGATGACAAAAACATGATGTCAAAATACCATTTCCCCTGAAGACAACATTAGAATTGGGAGAAGATGCCGTCAAAAGAATATTATAAACAAATAACAGTACGCAAAATTAAGCATCATAGGCTTACACCGCTCTTCACAACTGACTAAAACTAATAAAGACATAAAACTAATTGAGGAAGATCATAAAGAACATACTACAATGCGCAAAGCATGTGGATTATCGTCGCGGTCAATAAGTGCAAGTAGCAGGATATCTGGAGGAAGAAGCTCATGGGTCCAGATGAAAACTGAAAGGTTTCCACATGCTTTTAGCATAAGATCCTGAGGAATGAAAAGAGGAAGACATTAGAAAAAAGCAAAGCAAGGAGGGTGAAAACTTGATAGGTCCAAAGAGTCAATAAGAAAGGAGTATGACAAAACCTGCAAGGGATGTCCACGCTGTAGTTCCAAGTGAATATGATGAAGCAAAACATCTACCATTGTATAAATATTTGCAGTCACCTCTTCAGGAGAAAACTCCCTCAAGACACGTCCCTGTATCCAATTATTAGCAGGAACGTCGTCACGCGAGAAAGATGTATTTTAGTAGGGATATCTCCATATGAGAAAGAAGTCGATGAGATGATCACTACACAAAAGCTTCTAATAACTTCAGGGAAAAAAGGCCGAGTCTTACAAGGTTTGTGCAATTAATATTCTCTGGATGTCCATGCATTAGTATCCACGCACCAGCACAAAGATACTGGCGGTGTTGAGGAAAACTGTGGTTAATATAAGTCATAACATATGTGGGATCAGCCGATGGAGAAAGAAGCTGTGTGCATTGATTGATAACAGTTGTTTCTGCCTGCAGATAAAACATCTTGAAGTCAATTGTATGTTCTCCAGAAAAACAACATGAGCAAACTTATACAGGAAACATCTTGCCAGTGGTTTGCAAAATACCTCAAATTCATGAATATTTGGTCACTTATTTTTCGCTGAACCCTATACTGTTTAATGACAACAAATAAACCTATAGTCTTAAATCATACTCTTTTCCTTTCTTGATTCTTGTTTACTTCCGGAGATCACTCATTAGCAATTTGACTCCTCACAAAGCAGCTGGGAATAAATTCAATCATTAAGATTACAGCTTCTGCTTGATAGAACCGATACTAACGACTCAAGTTCAAAATCTGAAACATTTGTGACTAAACAAATTAACCTTTGAATGTTGGGCGCAGAAAATAAAAGTCTGGATACTGAATACTACCACTAAATGCAAATTTGAGCTGCTCTCTATGATTAATATGCAACCAACAACCATAAATTCAACAAGTACTTCACTTCCCATAATAAACGATCATATGGTTGCTTAGAATTTTGCTATTTAAATCTCTACTCATGAACGATGTTGAGGCTGTAAAGGTTTTAATTGGCACTTAATGTGGTAAGTGATTTCCATTTTACACTGTCAAACACATCCAAAATCTAATTGCTTAATTTGTTCAGCTTTAAGTCCTGATAAAAATTATCAGACAGGCTCTTCGATGTATCAAGTAAATATATTAGGGCTTAAGCGAACATTTGGCATTTAAAACTGGCAACTGCATGAGATGCACAGGTAATTCTGACAGAAATAAATTTTAATAAACCTGAGTAAAATAAGTACTTTCGCTTTTTCAAATCATGTGGTGGAGTTTGACTAGGCACCGAATTTAAGAAAGAAAAAAAAGACTTCTAAAACTTGTGGTCTTAAACATGACATAGCATATATGTGTCTAAAAAGCATGCCATTAAGGGTAAATTTGGGAATTTTAAAGTTAAATTGTCTCCAAATATGAAAATGTGTCATTCCTTTTGGAAGGACTGATAAGGAAATGGTGACACATAAGATGGAATAGAGGGAGTAATAAACAACTAGTTAGATTAAAGAATGAGCTTCATCATTCTATATCGACTTTCAGAACACGCAAAAGAAATTTGATTAATCTTTTAGCACGCGCAAATTATGTATCTATGATGAGATATTTTGTCTTTTCGGGTCACATTTTCTACTGATGCTTTTAAGACTATCGAGGTGCAGTTTAGAACCCTTCTCTTCTTTTTCTACTTTAATGCAAACTTTTCTTGACTCAGGTTTTCCTTCCATTTCATGAACTCAACATCCATCATGACCTTTTCTACCAAAGTGACATGCGGAAATGTTTGGAGAATAAGTAAACCCATAAATCACAAAGAAACAAGCACCTAAGAGAGAAAACGGTTTAAAGCTTCAGATAATTCGTACGGAGAGGAACCATTTCATGTACCTGCTGCCATGCTTGGATTGCCAAGCCCCTTTTATCCATTCGCCCACTCAAAGCATCGCGTAAAATTGAAGGAAAGTAGCGCAAAGTTTTCTCAGACCAGGTATGCTGGCTAGTTGCTAGAATCTGTTCTAGCATTGTCTGAAGATACAGTAACTGATCAAACTCCCCGATTCCACGAGTTTTGATTATGATTGCAAGAGTAACAATTGTTATTCTATTTAAAGTCTCAGTAAACTCAGTTGGACCCTGCAAATGCATTGAGTAGCTCAGAAAAAGTTATAATTTGAGTTACAGAGCATTCACAAAAGTTCAGCTGGAGAAATATTCCTACCTTCCCTTCCCTCTTCACAGAGAAAAAATCTCTCAACGACAAAATCAGATTCATACATAAATTCTCAGCCAATCTGAAAATGCGATGATCTCCACGTTTCCCCTTCAGTGTAGAAATCATTTTGGTGACATCATACATCAAGGTCTTGCTCTTGCCTTGATACCTAGAAAAAGGAAAAAGTTTATTGACTTTATTTTTTATCAGTTATTTAGAGAATCAAGTTACAGAATCCTAACAATTGAGGAGGTGCAAAAAGATGGTATGCTATCTAAATGTAGAAATGTGAATGTACTATTCTTTAGTAAAAGCAACATTGATCATCAGTCACAGACACAAGTAGAGAATAGATAATAGAGAAGAATCTGATGAATTCCCAAGATGAGTAAACTCACCTGTAGAGTGAAAGGAAACGGTAGTTAAGAATTTCAAACACCAAGATCGTGTTTCCAGGCTTGGTCAATGTGGTGGGATTCCTCGATGTCAGATGCTGCAATAGAAGTTTGCATCAAGAGCAAAACGTAATGAACTCCAGTAGAAAAGTGTGCAAACAAAAACACAAGTTAGACTAACCAAGTCTCCTACCAAGAAAATGAAACTGCCTAGAAAGAAATTCCAGCAGCAGTCCATAATGGGAAGCCACAATTCATCCGAATTAGCAAGAAACTAGAGGAAATTCACTAACATATTACACTGATTTCCCATCAAAAGATGAACAACCCACTGACCAACAGAATACGGAACTTAAGTGCTTCTACAGAAACGTAAGAAGGCAGTAGAATGGCCAACCATAACGTCGCCATTCTGGTACTAAAACTGACTACTATAGTAACTATACAGTTTGCAGAGGGGATAGTGAAAGGAAGTCGCTGCCTATAGGTGAAGGACAAAGCCCGAGGAAGGCCTATGCGACAGTAAGACTGTGTTATGAAGCTACTTAATTATTTAAAAGAAAAATAAAGGCACCTGCATTGAGTCATGTTGGTGTAGGGTGTAGGGTAGGCAATAATACTTACTGAATTGCCTGACCATCTCCTAAAAGCTTAAGCTAGAGAGAGCACTCTTTTATTTACTTAATTATGTCTTCGATAATACTGCTTACCAATATGTCCTATATTTGTGAATCTCTTTTTTCTGTCCACACCTCACAACTGGCCTCTCTCATACCTCTCTCAGTTAACTTTGCCCTTACATAATCCTCCTCTGCTTCCTCTCTTACCTCCCAAGTCTCCTAGTCTTAACCCCTTCCTACAGCAGTATGACGTTGTAGCCCTTCAATATGTTAAAAGTTGCCTGCTACGCACACGACATATTAGTTCCTTTTGTTGAACTGTGAAAAACCCCAACATCCACCCTCCTTCTCGATGAAGTTGAGCAACTACTTCCTTAACTCCATCATAGACATCTTTTACTTATGGCATTATTTCAGAAATGCTTGAAAATACCTCTCGTGCAAAATAGTGGGTTCTCTATCTTTGTAACTTATTTCAGTTTACTTCTCCAGATACATTTTCTTCGAGTATACCAAAATCCTCATATTCCTGGTCGACCCCTTTATCCACCCCACCCTTCTCACCCTCTTTTCTCCCGATTCCTTTAATCCTCCCACACCTTTTTGCTTTCCCTTCTTCTGTAATGCCAATTACCTTAATTTTAGGAGCAATGGCTTAGCACCCATTTTATCATCCTTCTCCACTGACCTTAGCTTCAGATTCTTCATCTTTCAGGATTTCTTCATTCACTCCATTAATGTCTTTGACCTCTGTGAGAAGGCACGGGAGAAAATATGTTATTGATATTGGATGATAAATACAATACAAGAGGTCCCTATTTATAGCTATACACTANGCTTCGGCGCTAGATCGAGCAACTACATTTTGTTTCTTGCTCTTCCACGAGACCAAATTACCTCCTACTAGAACACAATATCCAGACGTCGAACATCTATCAAAAGGTGATCCTGCCCAATCAGCATCTGTGTACCTAACAATCTGCTCGTGGCCTCGATCCTCGAATAGTAATCCTTTGCCTGGAG